CTTAGCAGAGAGTTGGGGACGGAGTTGCAACAATTCTTCCAGTTGAACACTGAAAGCACGACGCGGAGACACAATTGAGAGCTGTTTAAGCCAAGCAGTCATATCCGTCCGGAGACCAGTCTGGCCACACTGGTGTTGAATGACTGGAACTCTGCCAGAGTCTAGTGTCAACGCGTCCAGTGAGCAGTTTGAAGAGACCGTTGGACCTGTATCGGCTGCGTATACCGGATCGTCTTACTTTCGTTGAAGCTGTAACGGTCCATTGTGAATAACGTTTCTCAACCTCACGCGTTGTCCCTACTTTGACCGAAATGTGATGAAGCTGACAAGGGTTACGTCTTCTGCTTTCCGTAATTGAATGGTTCAATGGTAGCCACTCCATCTGTCGATTTTGTTTGCGTAAAATCCACTTGGAATGCCCTTTTCTTACTTGCATTTTCCGTCCCTTCCAACAGACGTTTTATAGCGATGGGAACCTAAGAAACGGGCTAAACCATCCTACAGAGCACGGAGAATGTACGAACAGAAGCGTCTCAGTGGAATGATAAAAGGTTCCATACGATCGATTTGTCAGGCCAACAAATCCCCAAGCAAAAGTTCATAGTGGTGCCTAGGAAACGATTCTAGCCGTAAAGCGGTTAGAGCAATTACCAGAGATGAAAAAGACGAGTAATATCAGCTTGCCTGACCTCTATCTGCATTGCTAGAAGCAGTATCGAGAAGAGTCGCACAAGACCGGTCAGCATCGACCCCACTGCACACCTTCGTAAGCCCTATTGATGTTGAAAGCGAAGCCCATTAGGCTTTTTACATCGCTGTGAACACGCACATCACATCAAAGGGCGGGCGGGCGCACGTGTACACACACACATACATACATGTGGAGTGAAGTAAAATAGGCGCTTTAGCTAATGCAGTGATGAAAGTGGCCTAACTGATTGGGGAGAAAGAAACAAGCTGGTACGGAAAGGACGAAGAGCGGTATGCCACTTTTTGTACGGGTATAGACAAAGAAAGCCAAAAAGTAGCATATTGTACTGCGAATGGGATATAAACGAACGGTCTTGATGTGACTGCTGCACGCAATTCTGCCAACCAACCCGGTTGTGTCCAAGAAACAACCGTAGAAGTAATTCGTGCCGTTAGTCACAAGAGGCGAGCGTATTCCTCAATCCGCAGATGGAAAAATAGGCAACACAGAGAGTTAGGCATGAATGCCGCTCGCAGCATAGTGGCAAACGAGCAGAAGAAGCACCCACTCAGTATACAGTAGTGAGGATGCTTGATCCAAACCACAGCAGGTGAGCAATGACACATAGGTTAGGAAAACGAGGCTCAAATCATAATACAGGCTAACAGCGCTGGCAACCACGGTTACGGTCGAATACACGGGCAACCAACGTATAAGTATGTGGAAGAGACTATCTGTAAACAAGTGTAGACAAACAGTGGAACATTCAACTCTCAAAATATGCTCTAAAGTCATAGGCGCTAAACAAAACAGTTCCCCGCGTACTTCGTAGGTAAAATTCTGCTTTTTCCACGTCCGCTTCGGTTTGTACCATGAGGTGCCGGAAGAGGAAAGGACATAACCAGCAGGGTGGATACGGGGGAATTGGCCAAAAAGAGTGCTGGACGAAGATGGGGAGCCCCTGGGGGAGAGGTGTTGAGATATTGGGCTGGAAGAATTTGAGCCCGTCAAATCGGAGACGGGGATAGTGTCAAAGAAGCTTGAACGCTTCGGACTTAATTCAATCATATGAACCGGAGGGAATCCAAGAACTTCAATAATCTGTAGTACTTGCTCCAACTAAACAATGCAGATGAAAGGAAAAGAGCAATCAGAAAATGTCTGTCTAAATTGAGCAGTGCAAAGAGATCCTAAAGTGCAGTTGAACAAATAGCCCGTATGCGGTTGTGGTACCCAAGTGGTGAGGTAACAAGTGTTGGAAAAAGTAGTGTAAACACGTAAATTACCCATGCACAATGCAGAATAACCAGATGGTAGATGACCACGAGTGGAAAAGAGACGAAACGACAGGACTCGGAGCATCTAAGCAGACTAACAAATGAATGCAAACTTGGAACTAGTGACCTAATAGCGTTGGTGGGGCAATCGCATGTTCGTCTTGAATAGAAGCTTGATAACCCTCCAACGCGGACGTCTGCAAGTGAGGGAGCGTGCGAGACGTATGTGATGAGTTGAGCGGGGGGGGGGGCGAAAACGAAAAATCTTCTAGCTAGCCAATATAGCCAACAGCATATAAAAGAAGAAACATCAGTTTTTCTGCATGTACACACAGGTCGATGGTAAAAAAAGTAAGGAGAACAATGTGTCCGAAAGGAACTGAGGATGCCGGAGTAGGACGGAAAGAAGCCACACAAGACAAACGAAGGGTTGCAGTATGAGTGGATGCGTCATCGGATTGCGACAGATGGTGTTTCCTGGTATCGATGCGATGGATTTCGCGCACATCTACGCCGTAGAATGAATGAGAACTACACTGGCTTAATGAAAAGCGCTTGCACGCAACCAGTATAGGTGATGTTAGGCTAACCGTCGGTTTTTCCACCAAGTCCAGCGTCCACAAAAACCACACTTGAAAATAAACGCCCAAGCGCAAGAGTTAACGGGGTGCGCACACAACACAACCAGTGCATACCAATTTCGTCAACACTGCTGGTAACAAAAACAGCATCAACAGCAGCAGCAGCAGCAGTGACCCCCTGGAGATATCTTCGCTATGCAGTCACGAAAAGGCAAGATTGGAAATGGAGGGGACAAAGAGGGATAAGCAGCCACATAGCCTGAGCGCGTAAACAGCTGTTAAGGAACAAAATGTCAACCTCCTTAATACGCAGTCATCATAAACAACACAGGATTGAAAACCAAAACGATGGACGGTTTGCATTATGGGTTGCCTGATCGGAAGGTCAAATCGATGCGTTAAGAAAAGCACCAAGCGCGAACTTAATCGAGTCACATCCCGACTGGATACAGCAGCAAAAATCCACAGAGAGAGGCTGAGTCGTGAGTCAGTGTGAGCATATCCCCCCCCCCCCGCTCACAAACACAAGACAGTCTAGCACTCCTCGGAGGAATCCCTTGTTTAGAAAAGAAGCATAAATGAACGATGTGGGAATGCTGAAAATGGCGACAGCGGAAAGAGAAACCCAGATTCTACAGTGTGAAGAAAAAGTACGAATGTCCAACGTTGGATACAAGTTGCACACGAAACTCTTTGTGGTTTCATCCAGTGAACAAATTAGGCGCATAGCATAAAAAGGTGAACGTACACCAGCTCCGAGTGATGCAAACACACACCCCGGAACAAACGGGGTGTGCACCATCCCATCAGCACACTCCCTTGGAGTCCGAAGTTCACACGAGAACCCTTATCGATTGCTATGTGCTTGATATCTGGTGTGCTGTGTCGAAGCGACTTATTCGGATACGATCGAGGGCTATCACAAGGCAACACATAGTGGTAGGGTGTTGGGGGTAAACAACAATGTTGGCTAATTTGATCATGACTGCACACAGATAGACCAATTGAAAGCGACGAAAAACAACAACTGTATCGCGCAAGCCACGACAGCACATAAAGATAGACGAACGCTCAGTCCGAATGATTGATGCGAGAAGTCAGGGACGAAGATTTCAACAAAAGCTGCTATAGTAGGGCAGATACGAAAGCGAAGCAAGTGTGATGGTCATTCTTCCGTAGGCCAATAAGAGAACAGACTGATCAAATCGCGTTTTCCGGAGCTGCAACTGATCTTGCCCGTCATTTTACTGATTGCCGAGTGACCTGATACCAGATGTCGTTTAGTAGGTCTCCCAAGGCACATGCAGCGACCGGGGATACCGATATAATAACGTCAGCTGCATCATATTTGGAGAGCATCAGTGGTTAAGAATTAGAAGCTCAGAAAAGGTGGAATGTAAGCATGAAAAAACGATCGGTGTCGCCAGTAGATAGAATCGGCAGTTATCTACAAGCAATCTGAATTTGCGTTTTATCCGTAGTTCACTGTGAGTAGCCTGCAGACGGCGGAAGAATACAATCGTCTCAAGAGCGATGTCGGTCATTACGACTTCGGATAGCCAAGAAGATGATGTGTGCTACGCTGTCCGAGGCTCCACCCTTCCAGCTACATGCACAAGCCATTTCGAAGGAAAGACGAGGAAGTAAGATGTGGAGGTAGGCGAGTGAAGGTCACAATCATCCTGGGGACGACGCACAAGCCATAATCATTTGCAGGAAGATGAAACCACTTGTCAAGTCCCTAGTTAAAATGACGCTCAGGTTATCAATCCTACATGCATGCATGCACGCACGCACGAATAATAATAATAATAATAATAATGTGCATATGGACGCTAAAGCTGTGTGGGACAAATTGCCAATTGATGGCTGAATCAGAAAATGGGAAAAGCGCGCATATTAAATGCGCCTGAGGTTTCGGTTATTTACTTGATAGGACCATCTTTCGGCTGTGGAGTCACGATGACTGTGCTGCATCTAGAGTACATATGACTGTGGAAAGATACCTAGATAACAAATCAGGTGGTAAACACTCCTGGAATTAGTTCAGAATCAGCCTACTGTGCTCGAGGACGATAGCGAGAACATGACTTCAGTAATTTAGTGGGACACAAAGTGTCTCATATGATGTCCATGAACGAGTTGCATCGAAGATGAATTTCCTTGGATGGACTAGGCTGGGAATGACAATGACAAACAACGATTGGAATCGCGCCGAACGATGCAGTGAACACAGTTACCTTTGGACCGGGGTTTACAAATTCTACTACTCTAAGTGACGCAAAGGAGTAAAAACATTTACAAAGTGATAGAACATCCGGGGTGCGCAAACACATACCTCGTTCGAGCCGGAAAATAAAGGTTCACCGGTGTGCATTTCCACGAGGATGCAGCCGAGAGACCACATGTCGATGCCTAGTCCATAGTCTAGGTTGAACAACACTTCAGGAGAGCTAAAAAGTGATAGACAAAAAGTGACAATCAATGGTGGCCAAGCTAAGGTGGAAAATGGGGCGCAAGAAAAAAAAACCATGGGGAGCCAAAATTAACGGAATACGTAAGCCATGTGTATGCATCGGTGAATTTGTCGAGGTAATTCCCAAAAAACAGAAATGCAAACACCGATAAGCCCAGTGCTCGAAGATTGAAATTAAAGCCTATGTGTATGTAAATTGGGTCCTAAATCATAGTTCAAGTCGACAGTTTGTTATCTGGTTTGTGTCCGAAAAGTATACCTTTTCCTTTGATTTATTTTGAGCCGTTATGATCGCAACGGAAAAACACAGGTCTGTCTGCAATGGGAATATGAATCGGAGACAGTGTTACTAAGAATTCAAAGGCTGCATGCCATCGAACTTAAAGGTAAGCATTAGGAGTACGCTTGTATATCGAGCAGACGTTTGCTTGCCCCTCGATCACCACCAGTTACGCGCCCGTTAGGGATACTGAGAGATTTGCCGCACCTACACGGATTCGAACCGGTGATGCGTAGATTAGAAAGTGGACGCCTCATGCGGATCGGCCACCAGTGGACATGCATCAAAATCAATCCATGGTGTGCTAAGTACAATGTGTAAGAAATTTTTCTATGGAATACACTCCACTGACTGTATAAAGATTTCCCGATGTTACCTAGCACGTCGGATTATATTGTTAGAAGCAAATTATTAGTTTCAGTAATGTCATGGCTACGTCGGGACGAACTATATGTAAATGTGCTGAATCACAACATATACAGAATGCGTCTATGTGAAAAATACTTTTAAAACATCACGGCAACACAAGCCCCTAACTACTGATTGCAGCTTGGCACTGGGAAATGATGACTTCGCCGCGATCGTCGTTTGCATAATCCAGCGCCCTCACGCTGCATAAACCAGCAAGTCACCCATTAGAGAAGGCGTGTACTTGCCACTGTAGCGCTGCTTTGTGACTGGATTGTCTTGATGAAAACGCTCACCATGCTCATCGCTAACAGATCCCAAGTTCTCAGGGAAATAGTCAAGATGATAATGTAGAAAGGGAATCTTGAGTGAGCTTCGAGCACCAACAGCCCCATAGTCCGCAATGAGCTTATTAGTTATGTCTTTGTAGTTCTCTGCCTTTGTTCTGCCCAAAAATCCTGTACACACTGCCTTGACTGATCGCCACGCTTCTAATTCAAAGGAAGTCAGTTGGCATTCAAAAGTACTGTCTGCCATTATCCGGTGAATATCAAGCCGGAGCTCCGCATTTCTGATCTTTGAAAACACTTGTTTCAGGTTCTGGAACGCAAAATCATCTCGCTTGAGCGCTTGGACGAAGCTTGATGTGCAGGGGTGATAAATAGGTTTGATCAGGCTGTACAAAAGAGGTATGCTTTACAATCATTTTCCCTGTGGCATACTCCGTCCTCACTGGCCGCATTTATGTTGTATATTGCTGTTGAGTCGCCTAATGTCTCATAAGTACAAGAAACAGCAATATTTTGTAAAGCCACTTTGCATACCCATTAGAGGTCCAATGACTTTGAAGTCAGCACAGATGTTCCAACAGTACTTATCGTGATTCAGTGCAGCGGGTATCTGTTGCATAATTGCGTAAGTCTCCTTCATATTGGTGGGATGCGACAGAGGCACAGTTGGGTATGCATTTCCATTGTGGAGTAGTATGACCTTAAGACTACTCATGAACGATTCAATGAACAAACCACATCCATCACTGATATGCCTCCCACCAAGCTCATTCGTAAGTCCTACTACGTCGGAACAGAAACAAAAGGTTTCTTTCGTGTCATAGAAACCGAACAACTTAACACTTCACTTTCTGTATCCAAAAACCTTAGTTTTTGCAGCAAGTAAGTGCCACTGCTGCCACCGAGATGCCCGCAACTCGGCCTTGTCTTTAGGCCAGCCCTGATCACGTACCAATTCATTTAGCTCTGATTGTGCAATGAAATGTGGGTTGACAACGTCAACTTCAAACTTTTCACAGATGTTTGAGTTAGGGGAAGTTTACGATGCGGAATCACTACTCATCATCAGTGACATGTTCACTGGAGATAATGGAATGGGTAAGGCGCAATTATGAGGAACAGGTCGTATAGCAGATTGAAGATCGGGGTAATAAATTTTGTCAGTGTTTCGGTTGGCGATTCGAATGACACTGGTTAAGCAGAAGTAGTGGTCCGTCGTGTGATAGTACGGCTCCCTCTACACCATAGGGATTGTAAAGGGCATCTTGTCTTTGCCATTGAGTCGCAGAGTCAGAAGAAAATTGCACGACACACAATATGTGGCTCGCACTTCTTGGTCTGGTCTCCCAGTTTCATCCCGAAATATGCGTGGTAGGCAGACTTCAGTAGTGAAAGAATGGGTCTGCGCTGCGACTTTGTAGTAAGCTGTCCACAGATGTAAGAAAAATGATTTCGGTCACTGGCACAGCAGCGTCTTTCAGTCATGATAAGCCATGATCAAAATCGACTTTCAGTATCAGGTGAATAACATGGCCAATCACAGACGAGCATTCGATGCATGGAACGCACTGCTTAGCTGAAATGAAAAATTGAAATAACAAAACACCATATGTTATGGAAATAGTTGTTTTGCATATTCGTAAACAGCTCACTTGGTACTAGTAGAAACATCCTATCTCATTTCTGTCATGAAAATGACGTTGCACAGTGTTATCAAGTAAACTCAACTGGTGCAACATATGGGAGTAGCGGTGTTCAGTGATGTATATGTATGTAATCTCAACAGTCTATTAACTAGACACAGAGCCAGCATAAAACCATGGAGATCAGCAGATAAGTAAGATTCATCGCGTCATAATCATCGTGGCATGCTAGTTGAAGGTGAACAACACACTTCAACTAATATGCCGCAGGAAGAATGGAACATTTTAACAAAAAGTAGAACAAAACATTTTTAGTTTGTTTTTTCACATGCCGCTTTTGCTCTGTTTTTGTCATTTTAATATTTGTAGTATTAAACATGTGAATCAATACAATACTGTACACAATTCTTCCACTGATTCCGGTTGCGGGCCATATCTTCCATTGTGCTAAGCCATTGGTACTCCTCATCTTTGGGTCCCCATCCTGGAAGACGTACGGATCCAACAGCGCCTAGACACGACGTCACCGATTTCACGTGCTGCCGCCAAGTGGAAGGCTGACCACCACACAGTCGCCTCCAACCAGGTCCTTGACGAGCGAATAGAGCGCGACGCGGTAGACGCTCAGGTGTTCAGTGAACTGTGATAAGTTCAGCGAACGTCAGATTGAACACCATGATCTGTGCGTTCCGAAAGTCACAGAAAGTAAAGGCCGACGAAAAAGTTTTAACATTGGTGAAATTCACAGGATGGACGCCGCTGGGGAGATACAAGGCAACCAACTCTGGCGACTACAATTTGCAGTTTCCAGAAAACGGTAATTGAACCAATGGACGACGCATCGTCACCACTTTCGATGAAAAGAATGTGTTTGGGTACATTTTCAGAATACAATATCTGTAAGCGATGGTTTGATACATCACGAAGCATGTAGTTATCGCATTTGAAAACTGAACAAGGTGATTCAGTTCAGCTCTTCAGATTAGCTACAATCTATACAATAAGGTGTGTAATCGATGAAGTAAGCTTGACACGTGTCGCCAAAGCAACATATACGAACGACAGTAATAATAACAAGAATGACAGCAGAAAATGAATGGACAAGAATTAAAACTGTCAAATAAAGTTGCTAAAAGCAACAAATGTGGACATGCATGAAATAGAGTCAGTAACTCTATCATAATCGTGTCACATCCGATAGCGCAGTGAAGTAAAACTGTTACGGATCCCGAGGAATAAAGCCAAGAGAACGATAAGCGTCAAATTCACTTGACCCTTCGGTGTGTTCCTTCATGCTCTCTGGCTCCATCAATGGGGGGCCACAACAGGTGTAAACGCACATAACACAGTAGTCTGAAGCAATACATGTCTAAGCAAGCAGTCAACCTAGGGGCACGCGGGGAATTGATCAGGTTTGCATAAGCAAATGATCACCAGTCAAACTATAAATTACCATTCGGTGCTCCCATCATCCGACATGAGCAAGAGTTTGCAAGCATTAGCAATCAAACGTGACCAGCCTCACAACATCCTCAGTACGTAGTGGCCAGTTAGCTGAACCTGTGAGCTGATCTAGCGCTATGAGAAACTACTCATAGTGGCTGTGGAAAACTGGCAGAACACGTGCACCTTCACGCGCCGTACAAGTGTGCAGTATTACGCGTCCGCCTATTCGGTAACACATGCACAGCCGGTAGGTCTGATTTAATTATAAATGTCGTCCGTACACACTTAATTTGACCGTCCGTCATCCACAAACAGCAGAGATGGAAGGCAGGACAAAATCGGTCACAAGCGAATCAATCCAAAATATAAAGAGAATAATAGAGATAGGCAGCAGTGATGTATAACACTTGTGAACTCCGGGGGAGCTTGTCGTAGACATTCACATGGGTTCGAGGTTTGTTGCACAGAAATTTTGAGTGGAAGGAAATATTACAAGTGGTCCGTCAAAGATAAACCTCATCACAAACAGAAGTGGCCGTCAGGGTATGGCGATGCTCGAGAATGTAACGTAGCATAAAAAGACGGTTAATGTGCTCTTTGACTGTCTGGAGGGCAGCATAATGTCCACCAATTGGACTCTTACGAGGATCGGTGAGTTACCGTCGCATGATGCGAGTGACTTGGGAGCAAGGGGGAGTTTAACACTACGAATTGTTTCCACAAGGCGCTCGCAAGATTTTCATAGCACAGCATTAACAGATGACAACCGCCAATCAAGTGCTTCCCTTTGTGCCAAATTGTGCACGACAAAATGCTCATGACAGCCGCCGTTATTCTTTAGCAGCGATGAATGAATCATCAAGAGTACAGGTTTTGTGCCGCTTCAGGAATACCAGCTCCTGTTGGATCCCGTGGATTGTGCGAATTGGTAAATCAACGGTCTGCGTGCATCCGGGTGTTTAAGCTATTAACTCCGAGCCATTGGGTTGATTGAACCGCGCTCCATAATGTTAAGCCAAGAGCATTATGCGACGCGACCAAGAGCATATCTAATATCCCGCTCTTGCAACTGCTGCCTCACTCACGAATCCGTCTTGGATCCGTGCATCGAATGAGATCAAACAGCATCCGGTTATCTGTAGTGTCCCCAGGCTGCTCTATTTCACAGGCTCCGCAATACACCAGATATCCTGATCAATCCGAGATGCAAAGTTTAATGATGTCTTAGAGCGATTCGGATGTTTAGAAACCGACTCTCCAACAGAATCACATGTCGGGTTGACAAGCCTTAAATGCTTTTGCGAAGTAATTAGAGGCGATGATAACCAACAAACGGATCGCTCACTACGTTCGTCAGTGGTAATTGATTTTGCAATTCTGATAGGCATTCCTGTTTCGCGAACTGTGAACACAGCGGGTAAGCCACTACAATCGAAGCTGCGCACTTCGCCGTAACATGTGTAAACGTTGTGCTAGTGGCATCCACGAGGGCATGGTCGGAATCGAGACAAATGTTCCAGATCAATCGACAGGCACGCACTAGCGTAAGCCATTTGTAGTTGATAGTAATGCGGCTACTTTGAGACCAGGTTAGTCACCATGCAACGGAAAGTGAGAGATTGTACGTTGCTGATAGGAAGGCTGCGATGAGAGTGCAGATGAAAAAGCCTTCGACATTGTCAGCAGCAACCTCGAAACGACCCTTGGGGCGCGGCGCTGATCACGTGAGCGATCAACAGGAGAATTCAGGCCACCCGCAACAAGCATGTAGCATTGGCAGTGCGAATTGTCGGAAATAGGCGCCGTGGAATTTAGGTTTGACGGCCCCAGGCTTACACTTAATGAGAGCATAGGCAAAAGCAACCAAGGTCAGCCCACATCCAATTGTCTACTGGGGTCCATACTGGAACAACGGTCGCTGTACATCTGTTGACAGCGTTTCCAACATTGCAAATGATGTGGGCCATGGGTTCAGTAGTGTCATAAATGCGAAACATGTTACCGACGAAACCGAAATCTGGTAAACGTAGCAACATCAGGACGATGTTGCGTGTTTGAGGGATAGCACGCATCGACTTCGAGTGAGCGTAAAATCATAATGAGTGTAGTCCTTTGACCGATACGGTACAACGTGTGGATGTGGAAGGACCCGGTGCGGAATAGTACAGGAAGTTAGAGAAACAGTCTGGCTTCCCCAATACTGTGTGGTTAATGACATCAGCAGTGATCTCCCGCTGATTAACAATAAAAGAGGATACATGAAAGCAGATGGAATCGGAAGAAGGTAAAAGAGCACTGGTGTTAAAGCAATGAAGTAAAGCATATTCCATGGTTATGCACTGCGAAAAATAGGACGTTTTGAAGGTGTCCCGGACCAAAACCCAGCGTCATAAACGGAGATTCCATCCGGAGCTTACCATACAACTATTCGACCCACAATGCAGCGGTAAGAAGACTTAGTTCTGGAATGCATTCGCTAAGTACCAACGTTTCTCTACTTGCGCATTCAGTTCTCTGGACATGCTGACATCGACGGAGGTGCTGGCAGTCAAATTGGTTAAACATACCCTACCACACCAACACCCAGTTATTCTACGTTTGTTCAACACCAATCCTTGGTAACCCCCCGCCCTTCCGAGTCCACAACACCGTGTCGTTATTGGCGAGAGTTCTTGCCGAGATCCGTCTCCCATGATTAGTTTTAGTGATTTTTCTCCATATATTTGGTCGTACTGTATGTATCCATATGTTGGCTTCGGAGACGGCTTGAAATGGACGGTAGTAAACCAGTGAGCGGGAGTAGCTAGTGCTCATCGATAGGCAAGGACAATCCGTTCGCCAAGTTGATTCACACATGTTTTTCTCCTATAGATAAATACGGAGAAGGAGAGCCGCAGGCCACAACTTAACCTTGGGGGAGAAGAGTTGCCAAACACAAGAGGTTAAGGTAGAAAACCCTATACAACGTACGTGACTTTAAGTGTGCTGCTGCCGACAGTCACCAATGAACAGGGATACAAAATAGCATCAGAAAACCATCAGAGCCCAACTCGCATTCCATCGCATCTTTATTGTTTATAAGCGTCCTAGTCTGGAGTGGAAGACAGACAGCTATTGCCACAGTGCTGGTTCATATAAGGTGGTGTAGCTGGTCAATAGAAACCCAAAGGAACGCTTGAAGAAACCCACTTCCCTCGAGATAGCCACAATAGCCTAGTTAAAAGCAATTTTTTCCAAGCGTCGGCATAGAAAGTAGCATGTGACCGAATGAATGTAATAAAACCGGGCAAACCAGCGAAGTAGGAAATGAGGAAATTGGCGCAAAGTGAAGATGTTCCGCGTTACTGACTTGATTAAATGGCAACGAAATGAAAAGTGAACGGAGAATGGTGCTTGGCAGATGTACAACCCACGTTAAGTCAGAGCACATGACGAGTACATTAACACAGCCGTGTTGCAGCCGAAGCCACCGTGGAATATATGGGGCCAATTCCCATACAAGAAAGGAACTATGGTAGAATTGGAGACCAATGAAAACCGATGAAGCGTTAAAAATCAAGTACCATATGATTAACGCTTGATCTCTAAGAACTTTCTACATTGTGTAGGTCATATTCGTCGCGGGACTATCGACTATCTGTCGAAAATGCACCTCGTTCAGCGGAGGACTGAGATGGAAAGACAACCGCATGGAAAAGCGCAAGAGGAAATCGTGGCAATTATGAATTTCGTCATGATGGAGGGCAGCTACAGGATCCATCTCAGGTGGATGAATGGAAACTTCACATGGTGTGGCACAAGTGAGAAGCCAATAATCGTAATGATTCTAATTCCCAACCTTCTCTCGAATCATAGCAGTGAGATCTTCGAAAGCTATGGATTGATTGTCATGACTGGTTTATCTCCTTGCTTTACCGTTGTTAGCATACGTCAAGATAGCGGAGTGAGCCATGGAAAAGGGATGTATTGAGCTTTCACAACTGGAAGCCGAGCCGATTCGCCGAGCTGAACTGCCATGAAATAGGTCACAGGAGTCGCGGTTAACGGACGAGACCAACAGAGTTCTTAAGCCGGATAAGTCAACGGTGTCCAGGGGTAAACGTTCGTAGAATGACAAGCAGGAAACGTGGGTGATGCATTCTATTTGACGCTTGCGAGTGGTAGTATCTATCCAGAAGATGCCCGGGAGAACCGGGACCGTGATGAGGCACAGTGCCAATATCATGCTGTTCAAAGTACAACTTTTGATTTTCAAACTCCGGTGGGCACACAGACATTTGGGTAAACTCGGTGCGTGGTCCAGTCGAAGTAGCAATTAAAATGCACAAATTTTGACGGCCATGTAACAGACCTAATTAGATGCAAAGAAGTCGAGTGAAAAACTAGGCGTTCTGCCAGCCGTAGTCATGTGATGAATCGCAGTGCAACCGAAAAACTAAAGCGCATAAGAGGAGGCAACTCTTCCGCTAAATCGTGTGACAAAACTGTCTTTAGTTCACAAAGTGCTCAGAAAGAGGAGATCGAAATCGTCTCGAAGGAAACTGAAACAACCAAATTGTTATATATCTGAATAAAATTGTGCCAGCAGAAAGAATGAGTGTTTAATACACACCTTAAACATTTAAAACTTGCTAATTCTTAGGCCTTGAAAAGGACAAATAATTAACCAGACAGCAGAGGATGAAAACTGAGAAACGATCTAGCACTGAAGAGAAGGATGAACTAGTACGCTGATTCGCGTGCTGATAACAGTCTTCTCCACATACTGGGGAACTTTGTGATAGAATCAACTGTTTGTCGGCAAATGACAAACGCCGTCCATGTGTGACCGTGTGTGCGAACGCGTATCCGACCAAAAAACACAAGCAGCACTGTTGGTCAGTAGTAATAATAATATTAATTAGTTATTAACATTATAAGCAATACCGTTAACGTTGTATGGAGTCAAGTAGATGGATTGGTGAATCACCCCTCGCAACACGCCGACCATGCCGGTTGAACGAAGCTCAACCGCTAGAACGTGTCGACGGAAATACCTCCGCATGTAATAGCACCGGTTGCTATGTATAAAAGGCTGATATCGAGCATAAAGCACGTGGAAGGTTTGAATGAGTGGTACAATGGATTCGTCACCGACTGATAACTGTCCAATCAGGTGGGCCATCAGTCAGATCATAGTGTGTGCCGTTTAACGCAGCAAAGAGGTGCAGGTATTTTGAACTGTCAAAGAGCGAAAAATCGTGAGGTACAAAGCACAACATACAAATGACCTACCGATAAAACCGGGACTGGATGTACTGGTACACCTTTTCGGAGGCATGACATGAGCTACCGAAGTCGATCACCTTGATTGCGGACCGTTTGGGATTTACGAGCAAAATGTTCTCCGGTTTTAAATCACAATGAATCACTTGCACATCTGGTCGAGAGAGGAACACGAGTGCGGCGCAGAGTTGTTGCGCGAACTTTCGTGTCAAATTTAGCGATACGCCCCGGTAGTTGGTGTTCACCAGAAGATCGTACAAGTTGTAGGATAACAACTCGAACACAAGGCACAGGTGACCATAATAAGTGAAATGCGTCTTCAAATTGACTATATAAAGGTAGTGGAAGAAAAAACGTGGCCAGATCAGAAGTGAACCAATATACACGCAGATAGTGATAAGCATCGGAAGAAGTTGTACAGACATGGGGAACAGAAAGGGTCGCATGGTAGTTTGTCCCAAAATAATCTACCTAGAATTTCAACAGTAGTTAGATACAGTCCTTTTACTTGTCATCAAACAAGTCGGTCAGATGGTATGCTCGCTATCAAAAAAATGTGAGGGCATGGTTTGGTGCAGTTACTCCCTAATCTACCGGACGTCGCAGGAGCCACCTCAGTCCTATACGAGTTGAAATGAAACAAACTTACTTTCCAACTCAGAAGAATATGTCGCTGGCACTAGGCAAAAAGTGAATGCAGTTCCACTGATAACGCGGAAACTACGTCCCTGTGGGATATGGTCAGATCGAGGACACTAGTGGTAGGGAGTCGAATCCCAAGGAAATTCAGCCTCAAGTAGGGTAAATACTGACCCAAATTACAAACGAGACCGTATGGTTGCGCCAAAATCTGAACACTAGTCAATATGTTAGACCCATGAAGGAACGGACATGGCGAAACTCCAGTACAACAATACTGGATCTTAAAGTGGCACATCCACGATCCACTAAAATGTGCTTAATATGATCTCGTGTACTTTCAGTCTCTCATATTAGACCGGTCAATGGTTAGAGACCAGACAAAGTCTGCTAGCCCTCCAAGTTGAGGGTTGGAGTGACGGTGGCTTCTTACTCAATAAAAATGACCTCTCGTAGTTCGCCACGAAACTCCCGCTACCTTGCAATCAAATACTTTTAAACCCAAGTCCATGGATGGGAAAATTAATTGTTAGCATATCCGGGCCTAGATAAAATCACAGTATTTTATCGGAGCAATAAAACGAAACCACTTCGTTGAGTGAGTTGAATAATCAAGTGTGCTACTATTTACGTCTTCGCGTCTTTCTGTTTCAAAGCCCATGTTGTTTCTTCACAACTTTCAAAATTCAACCTCACTATTTCCTCTACTTGATCCTTAAATTCTTGTCCCCTCGATAGACGGATGTCTTCAAGTTTCGATTCGCAAGCAACCACAGTGTTGCTTCGGTCTCGTCGACAAGTTCGTGCTAAACCAAGTGAAAATTGTTCATCAGCTTCTACTTGGAGCCCTTAATTCCCGCTGAGACATGACTCAAAGGTGCAGATGAATCAAAATGCTATGAACCGAAAAGCTACGACGCGACTTCGCCAGTCCACATTGAAGACATCAAATGATTGGCAGGGTTCGATAACTAGTACTTGAGGAGTATTGTCCAGATCCATTGAGAACATCGAGATCAGCTAGTTAGGGTTTGGCAAAAAGTCCTGCGGTGCCTCGCTGGAGTATATGTTAAAGTTTGTTAACCGATTGCGTTAGTCAGGTCATGTGCTCGGTATGCCCATTCAGCGGTTTCTTCAGCACGTATTATGACACGACTGAAGTTAGTTGCGTTAAAACGCGAGGTGGTCAGTTCGTGACGTGGCATGTACATAGGGAAAACTTGATAGCAGACCTAGTCGGGGAAGTGCGTGACGTTTTTGTGTATGGAAACGACCGCAGACTCTATCGGATATGGCGCATAGCGGGATCAATGGTGATTTCATAAATATCTTTTGTACTTTCTCTAAGCTCTACTGCACTTTGTGGCACCAGTGTTAATGTGGGGCGATGCGAATCGTGTTCACTGCATCCACCGCACTTTTGTGCCAAGATTACACCCGTATAACCGAAGTGAACCGTAACAGCCAACAGGCTGTAAATGCCCGAACACCACAGACAGTATTGATCGGTGTCTGTCGCTCATCGGAAATCCGCTTGTAATATCAGAGCTTTGTACTCTTTCCATGATCCCCTTAATGTGAGATTAGCTACATGTGTTGATTGCATCTACTCGGGGTTGATGGGGCTTCGAATGCCCATCAAGCTTGCCGGGGATGGAACTGATTGCATTGACTGGGGTCGAATCAGCAGTTGAATGTGCCACATCAAATAGACTGGTTCATTCAAAATTGCGCGGGGACAACATGTGCTTGTACGTCATCTCTACTTACCATCCACAAAATGCAGCGCTGACTCGATGAAACATAACTCCTATTGCCGACTGTACGAGCTCCGTCACTCCAGAAGAAGCACGGATAGGGTATTGCTAGCTGGTGAATGGAAGCTCAAATTGGAAAGTTGTCCACTCATGAGCTTCACCTGGGCGGCCAACGCGATGTAAGAACTTGTAATGATAACGGTGAGCGGTTGGTACACCTAAGATACTCGTCCATTTCTAGTGAAAACGAACTTTTGACACAGCACCCGTCGGAGGGTGACATGACACCCATCAGCCACGAATGCAAGTCGGTCGCATCGCCATCAGTTAGCGTGTGAGAAGGTGTGTCCAAAACTGTCGCCCAACTTCGAGCACAAGCGTGGACTCCGACTATGTACTTGTAAGTGCTGATCTATGAGTGCATTGCTGCAGACACACGTCACAATGCTGTGAATGCAAAGATGCTTTTCAACTAGCGAAGCCGAAATTCGGAATGAGTGTCAAAGTATGCTAACACCTGGGTTAGGTAAAACCTCCCAGAACACAGGTCGCGAATTGTATATCGTCAAGCGCTGTTAGCAGTAGGCGTGTCTTCATGTAACAAATCAAATTGCTAGTCTGGACATGGGGTCTCTACACAGACCTGGAAAGCTCATCGGCAAATTGCGACGAAAAGCGGATGCAACGAAGTTAGCAAAGAGGTCAAGAGACAGATCGCAAACTTAATGCTTCACTATGCATTGGAAGAGAAAAAAACCGTTTCTCTGCGCGACCATCCCAAGTTATTCCGTATCAAACGGGAGACAAGTAGTAGATCTGGAATCGGCGAAACTGTATGGGACGAGGGAACAGCTTATTCACAACAACTTAAAGTGATTGAATCCTTCGGCTGAATAGTGAAAATCCGACTAGACGTATGGATTTCATAGTCAACTAATGAACGCCATGAGCTCAGCGCCGTCCCTTTAAATTCGCTCGCATGCGCAAAGTTGTCCTCATCAGCTGATTGAGTAACATTACCACACAACAGTTGAAGAGTCTCTTGCTTCTCGCTAACGAGCACAATTTTGATGAGGATGATGAAACCAGTGCCATGAAATGGAATGATCGATTCTGCATCCGTATTACGATCTTAAGTGGTAGGGTTCCATCAAATGGATATGCAATCTCACACTAAAAACATGCAACGATAAATTAGTTTAAGGGTCGACGGTCAGTAAGCTCCGTCTAGGAAGAGAGCAGTCTAGCAGTTGAGGGTTTCTGATTTCGTACACGACAATGATGAGCAAACGTCGCACAAAAAACACGATAGTCGGATAGTGGAGGTGATAGATAAACAAAGAGAATTCAATCCCAGGTTGGAAACAAAATCTCCGTTACTGCGGAATAAAATAAGATTCAAAGTGAGGAAGCGCTTCATAGCTGATCAGTTTCAAGAAGTATTTAATGTCTTGTTGGTTCTAGAGGCTTGGAATCCACTAGTCCTCGCTTTAACTGCACCAAATGGCAGTGAGTGTGAATCGATAGAATAATGATTTACCATGGGTAAAATAGCACGTGCTTCACAAGTTCCGTAGGATGGTTGGAGTAAAAATTAAAATTACAAGCATCATTGAATAAGTAAGTTAAATGCACTACTGTATAACGATAGTTTGAAGTGGGAATGGGATGTGCACACGCAAAATAATATAGAGTTGTTATAGTTCAGTAAATCCGTGAGAAATAAAAGAGGAAACGACAACGCTTACCCGTGTGTTGTTTCATTTGAACGATATGATACGTTAATCCAGTTTAGATACGTTCAGGCTACTCACATAGACACTACTGCATGTATCCTCATCGCCAAGTTTCAGAGAAGGTCGTTATGCACATAGGTTTGCGTTATTTCGTCCGCCAAGTGGAACAGACTACATCAAGTAAGTTTGAAAGCGTTTCATCAAGGCGTTTTTGAAAAGCGTTAATGTAGGGGCAATGATAACGTGAGTCGGAAGGGCATTCCAGGCACGGAACACATGGAGGGAGGAAACGTTTCCTTGACAATCAAGTCGACCGTAGTGCGCAGCCAGTTTGAGCGGATGGTCTCTCAGGTTGGTATTTTGGCTCAGCTGAACTGATAGCGACATGGGTGAATTGGCTTCGTCAGTATTAAGTAAACGATGAGGTCTCCTCGCTGACATCGATATTCACCACTGTACAATCTCAGGGACTGCAGTCTGCGCTGGTAGGGGAGACGAAACAATCCTCCAACGAGTGCTGTCCCTCTACATGGTGGGGTTTCAGGTCCCTGATCATGCCCAAAAGGCGTGCTTCGCTTTGTCAAGAATAAAATATTTATTTATTTATCTATTGCTGTCGCGCTTGCGTCAGGGACGCCAGGCCTGAATCGTATATTCCACGTGGGCCTCACTTGGGCATTCAGCATTTGCAGAAAGATTGATGGCTCGAAATTTCCGAAAGCCGTCCGTAAGAGTCCAAGATGTTGACTGGCTCTTTTTGATGCCTTTTCAGCCTGTCTCGAGCAGCCAAGATCCTCCTGCACGATCACCCTAAGGTCGCTTTCCTGGGAACCACGTTGCAAGTGCTGGTCCCCGAGTCGATATTCATGGTCAAGCTGATGGTGTATACTCACGACCTTGCACTTCGGCATGTTGAATTGGAGCAGGTTATCGGATGACCACGTATAAGCCCTGTCAAGACCGCTCTGCAATGCTATGTAATCATCCGATGTCTTGATGTCATGCCAAATTTTGACATCAACTGCAAATAAGAATAAAGTGGACTGCAGTACACTGGCAAGATCGTTAATAAGTGCTAGGAATAAAAGTGGTCCCGGTACCGATCCTTGGGGCACGCCACACTGGACGTCAATTGGATCAGAAATTCAGCTGCGGACTCTCACATTCGGTTGGCGTTGAGTGAAGAAGTTGCTGATCCAACCGAGCACAAGGTCACCGATTCCCTAGTTTCGATGCTTGTGCAGGAGAATGCGATGGTCCAAACGAGCAAACGTTGTCGAGAAGTCCAGGTAAACAACGTCGACTCCCACGCTGGCATCGGCAAACTCTATTCAGCTTGCTCGGGCTAGAAAGAAGTTTGTAGTGCAAGACCGAGTTCGGCGGAATCCGTGCTTCTGTGACAGGATGATGTTGCTCTCAATGTATCCCATGAACGGTTCTGCGATTATACCTTCCATTACTGGGAGCAGAGTGATTGGACGGTAGTTCGATAGCTCCGCACGATTACCACTTTAGTAAATAGGGGTGACTAGTCCGTGTTTCCACATTGTGGGAGCCTGCAATTCGTCGAGACAATATCGAAAGAACCGAGATAATGGTTCGGAAAGGTTCAAGGCCGTTGTCTTCAATGCCTTCGGTTTGATGTCGTCCTTCCCAGGTGAGCTGTACACGTGCAATGACATTATCCTTTGCATCACATTGGCAGTCGTGAACGATACGTGGTTTAACCCTGGTGGTGATGGAAGCTGTGTAAAAAGCGGATGAAATGATGATTCACTCTGGAAAGTGTGGATGAAGTGTTGGCGAAGCACGTTAGCCGCATCTTGTGTAGTTTGCGCCAGACCATCTGGTGCAAGTAAAACTGGGATCACACGCTGCACCCTCCGGAGCTTGTTAACGTGTCTGTATAGAAACTTGAGATTTGTACTGAATTTCGTCGCTAAGTTCTGTTGGTGTTGGAGTTTGTCCTCCGTGGATCAACTTGACGCAGTGGTTTCGTTGAGTTCTGTAAGCATCCCAGGTCAGGTTAATTGAACAGACTTGGTAAGCACACCAGGCTGAATCGCTTAAGGCAATGCATTTTCTAGACAGGTCTTATACGGAAGTTCATAGACACAACATTTCATACCTATCATTACTGCACCTTAGCTAAAGATAAAACACCTCAGCTTTTATGACGCAATACAAATAGATAAATGAAAAAGTGAGATACTAAGCATAACAGTGAACTATTATAGGAAACTAAGATAATTAATTAATCAAAATAAGGGGGTAGTATAATGCTTAGTACCACAGCACGTAGCAAGTGTAAGATCGTGGTTGAAGGAGGAAGGGACAAAGGAGCTCAAAACAGAAACACCATTGAGGTCGACTCTTCCCCATGTCAGCGAGTGTATCCAACCAAACGTGTTCATCGTTCTTCGATCCCCAGCCCGGCAGTCGGGAGACACTAACCGACGCAAATCTCGAAGTGACGGACTTCTTTCCTCTTGACCAAGTCATCGTTTGGTCTCCCATCCTATTCGTCCATCCACACCTCAGGAGCACAAACAACGCAGGATGCAGGCATGCGCAACAGGTGGCCCGGTCATCGGAGCCGGGTGTTATAACGGCGAATCGCGGTTCACTCCCTCTTCCTGCACCAAATACACGACGCTAAACAAGCTCATCGTTCACGTGGCGATTGAACGTAACTAAGCACTACATATCTGCCGATCTGAGAGGCCAGGTTTTATTACCGTACAGAAGGGTTGAACGCATGGCTGCGTTGTAAACTTCGCCTTTCAGGATGAGAGTGATGTTGAACCGGCACCACAGATGGCGGAGATTGGCAAAAGCGCCTCAAGTTTGTGCTATGCGGTTCCTGATCCCATCCTCTATTCCACTGACGCTGAGATAGCTGCCCGTGTATATAAATTGCTAATGGGCAACACTCGACTTACTTCTGATTCATTAGCTACGATCGGCCAAGGTTCGCCTAAATGCGAACCGCGGTCCACATTAGGATTGCGTATCGAGATCTAATCACACAACGTGAAATTCAAAATGACCCTCTAGGTGGCTGCCTAAGTTTCTGAATGAATTCCAGCTGGTCACCAATAAGGCTAAAAGGGAAGGCAGTCCCTGTCAATTTTGGAGGACTTGGCATTTCGAGGGTGTAAAGCATAGTCCGAAACCACTGACAGCCAATGTTAATTTTTATAGGGCTGGGTGGTACGTTTGGAAGCTACCATAGATAAGGGTAATGTCGTCGACGACTCCAAGTGAAGAAGTCTATCATCTAAAAGCACCTTCACATCTTCTAATTTATGTCCAGTGAACGTAGTCTCCGTGATTTCATCGACGGCGAAGTTAAAAGGGATAGGTGACAGCGGACAAGCTTGTCTCACACAACTAGAGATATTGGAAGACGGCGACCGTTCACCGTAAACCCTCACTTTGCCCAAACTATGCGCGTAAATCGCTCGGGTACTATTCAAATATTTCCCGGGCACACCTTTCCTGAGTAGGCAGTCCCAAAGGGCACACCGATCAACCGAATCAAAGGCTTCTTTGATGTCGAGGAATACGACTACGGTAGGTCGCCAATAAATATGGTGGTGTTCCAACGACTCACGTAATATGAAGATGTGAATGATTCAGCGTCAATCCCGACGAAACCTGGCTTTCACGGACGCCAAGCAGTGTATGAAGAATGACAGATGCAAGTAACTTAGAGGCGATTGGGATCAGACTGATTAATTTATTACTGGTGCATTTGGAACGTGGGTCTCGTTTGAAAATTGGGTCTATTAGAGAGCAGCTCCAGTCTGTTGGGATAGTTACCTTCCCCACAGTTTCACAAGCTGTACAAACCATCTACAAGCGCAGGTCCCTCGGAGGAATTATATCCGCTCCTGAGGCCTTATTCATTTTTAACAGTCTGATCTCACGTTCAACTTCTGCACGTGAAGGCGGACGGCCCAGGGAGAAGGACGATCAGTGGCTGATGGAGAAGCTGGTAACTCTGGTTCCTTAACCTGCTTTTCAGTGTTTTGAGGAACTGTGGACTGACCGAGCCCTCTCATCACGTATAGTCTCGTTAACATCAGGTATCCTCCTGCCCGTTTCGCGTAGCAGACGGAATAACTTCCAATGGTTACCAAGGGTAACGGCCATTTCCATCTCTGACGCATGATGAGACTATCAGGATTCGCGGTCTCTCTTCAGACCAGCACACAGTGTTGCCCTGAGATCTTTGCAAGTGTCTTTGTGTTCGTTCCTAGCCGAAATGTGTCGGCAAGCATCCAAAAGCTCCAGAGATTGCATAGAGACCCAAGGTCTAGGTGGGCAATTTGATCTGCCACAGAAAGACGCCTGTTACTAATAATATCAGGCGAATATGAGACCAGTGGTCCTCTACTGTGTTCAGAGAGCGCTTACTCAGCCTGGATTCCAACGTACTTTGATATGCATTCAGAACATCTGGTTTCGCCAGTTGCCGGATGTTTATGCGCTCACAGCGTCGTCGCGGATGTCGGCCAAAATACACTCGCAGATCAGCACATACAAGTGCATGGTCCGTGTCCGCACACGTGCTCCAAATCGAGCGAGAGTTCTGCACACAGCATCTCGAGTGGTAACTGACCGCGATGTGGTTGACCTGTGTCCCTAAATAGTCCAAGGATAGTGGGCCCCAAGTAACCCTGCGACGGGTGCTGTGTCGCAGATTAGTGCTCGCGAGACATAGACGAGTTTGTTCACACAGGTGCGGCAACTCATTGCGAGAGCCTACATCATGTTGGCTGCCCGGATGCAGCTGATCAGTGGTCAGTTTTTCAACTTGAGCGTTCATATCACTAGGCTAAGGTAAGACGTATGGACCCAACGATTTGATGCTGCCAATGGGGGTGGAGGGGAATGCGATGGCAAAACAAACAAAAGAAAACCGAAGCTGTTGCAGTATTTGGTGAGTGATAGAGTCAATCCGATGGATAGCTGAAGTGCGTGCACTGATAAGCTGTGATGTGCAACGGCGCAACCAGCTGCAGCAACGAGCACGGGGGAGGCAGCAGCGGTGATGCATTGCGCATGTTCATGTGTGTGATCGAAGGGTACAACCGAAAGCACGCATGTGCACACGGGCTGACCGCGCATGAAAAAATACAGCACAGCACAGCGCCAGGTGAGAGCAACCAGACAAAACGGAACCAAAGCGATCGGACGTAAAAACCCAAGGTCCAATGCGTAGGACAGGTTGCTAAATTTAACTCGGTCGACCATTGGACAGAAAATATAGATAAGCGCTCTCATGAGACCGATGAGCGAGCGACAAATGGGCCCGAATGTGGGCGACAATGCAGTGCCACACAGACTCTCAGCGCTGACATGTTTGGCTAAAGCACAGCGACTGATGAATTGTGCTTCCGCGTACCGAGTGGAACAATGGAATCCATGTTTTATCAGGGCACGTAGTAGCCGGCTGTGAAGCGCAATAAAAAATAGGGAGCAGAAGTGGAATAGGGGAAGTAAGGAATTCCGGTAGTTGGATTTGCGTAACGGTAAACAGAGTGACAGTTCCTGGGTGCGAAATTCCGCATTGCATCAGGGTAGAGAAATACGCGAAGATCAACGACAGTGCTGATTAATTAATTGATCAAAACACTTGGTGGACAAATTGAACGGGAATCGATGTCTCAACAGCAGCAGTGTCACCCAAAAATCCTAGGTGATAGCAATTCTTACTGGAAAATATCAGAAAAAGGAAATAGACATCATCAGTTGCATGGCTGTTGATATATCTTCTCGTCTTGCCTAAAAACAATGTTCACCAGGTAGCGTGTTCAAGAGTGATCACTGAAGAAGACACTTCGACTGTTGTATGCTTGCTCTAGTAAACGGCGACAGGAATTTGTGATATCAATGATATGGAAAGCGTAGAGACACCGTGAAAGCGAGAACACAGTTTATGCAGCAATGCAACACACTTTGGGAACTTACCAATGTAATTCGCACCAACCTCGGCGGCCAACTGATCGTCAACTTGGAAGGTGGACATTTCACGCAGCAGCTTGATTTCGACTTCAGCCTGCTGCAAAAAGGAGCGTTTGTTTCGGATCATTTTGATGGCCACTTCCTCTCCGGATGTTTGATCTAGTGCACGGACAACCTGGGGGAAAGTTATAAGGAAAACGGGAAGGGGACTATGGAAGCCAAGCTGAATCAGTGTGGATATAAAAGTACGCAAATAAGAAAGCAGATTTTTGTAACAGGAACAAGGTTTTAGGTACGAAAATGAGCATGCTCTTGCATGAATGAAATATGGAATTGATCGTGTTTGGGTTACCAACACACACACACCAGTAGACACATGAAGCTTATCAAATTCAGGGTTGCATGTCTGTGCCATCACTATCTATTTCTCGATCCGCCCTGGAAATCATTGGGTGGCTTTACGGAAGAAAACATGATGATTAGTCACTAGAGGTCAAATAGGGTTCAAGGCTAGTGGAGAAACGTTTTCGCGGCCGGTTGACTTTTCTACAGAACGGTACATCCGATGGACAAATAAGCGCGAATACCCGTCTTCATTCTTCAGATAGCCGGTGCACTCAAAAAGAAAGATAGTAGCGGGACGAACTACTGGACTGAAATGTTAAGAAATCGCTGTCGACTACAGTATTGTTAGGGAAATAAACTGGCGAAACAACTGGCAGCTAACACATAACCACATGATAGTCTAGATAATGAGGTTTGATTACGACCACATGCAGCAACTGTTGGTGCAGTTGGTAGCATCAAGAGGAGGATGAAATGACTTGGGAAAGTGTTATGAGGTGGTAAATAGAAACAGATGGGTCGGTGGCGGATACCTGTCCAAAAGTTCCCTTGCCAATTAAAGCGAGTATTCTGTACCGGTCGTGCCATACGTCGCCAACACGAACGAAACCGTGAGTCGAGTAAGTGGACAAGGTACCATTTGCTGTTTGGAGTGGATCAGCGGTTGCGTTAGTGGGTGGCAAACGCATACCAGAAGCCGCGGTGGCGGCAACGGCAAGAGGTGCAGCCAGGTGATGACTTTGTTTGTTGGCGCTTGAGTTGCCAGAAGAACCTGGTGACATAAATACAAAAAGCAACAGTCGTAAAAGGTGCTGGAGCATGGGGATATAGTAGATGAGTGTTAATTTGGAAAACAAGGCATCAGCAATACGCCCGTACTGCGTATCGGCGCTTGCTTCAGCGCAACCATCACTAGACGTGCGTGGGTCCCCTGATCCCCTACGCAGGCTCGGAGCCGGGACCGCAGATTACAAGGTAGTCTTGGGTCTCTTAAGGCCACGGACCAGCGGGAATGAAATAGATACAAAAGTTAGATATCAGTCATGGTGGTCCGCTTCTGTCGCCCATGGCGCAGTGACAAAAGTCGCTGACTCGCAAGAGTAAGGTCGTGGGTTCGAATCCGGCAGGATTCGGCGGGTGCGCGCTACTGACGAGTCCCAATAGGATGAATTGGCCGCCTAGCGCTTTCCTGGATGTGTGCTGGTTGTCTGCCTGGATCTACCTGCGACGAATCAACACAAAAACCTAGTAAATCCTCCTACTACCTACAAACAAAATTGAAAATTAAATATCTTCAAACCGGCATTCTAACAGTATTTAGAGATGAATGCAAAACAATGACTTACGAAGAGATGTGGCGGAAAACCCACGTAGTCAAGATGTTTCCCCAATGAAAAAAGTTGTATGAAGGATATGCATTCCGTCAGCTAAAGTAGACTTGATCATGTTGCAATGGCAGATTTGGATTGCACAAAAATAGCTCCAAGAACTTGCAATGGCTTAAAGTTGATCGACTAGTGATTATAGATAAACCATTTGTTCCAACCAAATAGTGGGACAAGAGCAGTATAGCGGAATACTCCATTGATGTACACCACAAATGCAGTCGGAGTGATATATATACTTTCACTTATGACTCGTTTGTAATAGCCTTTCCGCTTTACATTTCAGCCCATATGGCTCACTTGCTTGCTGAATAGAGCCTAATCTCTCGGGCTCATACTCTTCTCACCCATCGTATTCCTCCTCATTCGATTCAACTGCACGGAGCTACAGAGTACACGCAACGGTGTTCAAGAACCGAGAGGTCACCACATAAATTATATCGACAAACTGTTCGGTTCTCTTCCAAATGAGTAGGTGGCAAAATGTGCCAAAAGTATGCGTCGGAGTCATCTGCCAACGACCAATGTAATGATGATATCCATGTTTCGTATATGAGATGCAGAATAACGGTAACACAATTGGGAGCAAATATACAATAATAGCAGTGTTAAATATTTCTGGCCAATGGCCGAGTGGTCGACGCAAGTGGATTGTAACCGCTAGGTTGTTGATTCAAGCCTGTATAGAGATTGGCGAACCTACAATGTCCCGATCCCGCATGCGACTGCTGGTAGTCGCGTGGCAGCGAAACGTCGGTAAGGTGCATCAACGTACCATTGATACTTTTCTCGACGAAGCGAGAAGCGGTTTATGGAACCAGGCGCCATTCCTTGATTAGGGAGAAGGGTGATCGGTTAGCAGAGGGTGCTAAAAATAACCACCAGTAATCGATAGACGGAGGAGTTTCACTCCGGATGCATGCACGCAAACACGCGTGGAGGGAAATACAGTAGGGCAGGGTGTGGGTAAAATGACATCGGTTGCAACGTTCAAAACAAAAGTGTAGATGCCGCCAGTACCTAGATAACACGTATGCATCTATGCATATACGGACAACACAGTAGTCAATTGATAATACACATCGCTAGGCACCATAAATGATTGAATACTTCAAACCGCGAATTTAAATGAATCGCTGGCTCGAGCTATCTCTATCTGGGTTTCGATGATCAGGACGCCAGGAAAAAATAGGAGTTAAGAGCATGGTACCACAAGTCATTTCTAAGGTGTAGTATTAAATATTAATCTAAAAGAGAGTTTTAAGATGCCCCCAAAGAATGAAAACGGTCCTGTCAAGTCATGCGAAATGCAGTATAATGATGGGGAACAAATCGTTTGTGAATGAGAAAAGGGACAAATGGTCTAACTGAAAGCCGTATCATTAAAGACGGCGAGAATTTGGTGATCCGGACATTAGCAGTGTATCTTAGGGGGAAGGGAAATCGTCACAAAGTTGCATTTCTTATCACGGGCGAGCAATATACATGCCAAATAGGGCACAAACAGTTCAAAACCATGAAAGCTTACCAGCATCGTACAAATACTGGTGTTGGCATCGCTGGCAGGAGGAGGATGTAGGGGGATCCTTGATGGATGGCTGCTGAACTGCATGACCAATGGTGGGAGGAGGCTGCAGACTCAAGTAATGGACACCTGATGCCGCGTGTGTGCTCGTATGGTGGGCGACCACTCCCGGTAGCCGACAATTGTTGAGACAGGTGGTTGGAACACGATGTGGAGGCAGTGCGGGAGGATAGCCAGCCGGAGCCGGCTGCACACACAGGTGGTGCGAATGATGATGATGATAGTGGTGACAGTGGAGATGGCAGTGGCAATCGAGGGAAACGGCAGCGGCGGCGGCGGCGCCAACATTGGTACACGGGATGGGGCCAAAACTGGTGTGATGAACAGACCCTGCTCGGGCGTTGGTGGAACCTTTGCGATCGCGTTTCTGGTCGTTGTCTTCAGTCACTTGCTCTCGTAACCGACGCTTTTTACGATAGTACACCTTGACATGGGAAGAAAAATCGCAGTGGAGGGAGTGGATGACACATAAGGCAAGGACGGGTGTCTACGCAACCAGTTGCACATTGTGTCAATAACAAACTGAAGCGAAATTTATGAAAAAAATCAATTCCGTGAATAAAACGTCTGTAGTTATTACTGCGACCAGATTCCATCAAAAGCAATCCACAACAATCCACAGGTGGGTTCAACAGATAGGTTTTGAATAAACAAAGGTCAGGCCGTACAGCACTATGGCTGTAAACGATCACAATGAAAGTGTGTCCAAGGGGAACACACAAATCCCGGATACACCACTAATATCCAAACATAAAACCGGCTGAATGCACACAGGAACCACGACCTTTTTGCAGTGGATCCAGACTACCCTTCAGCATAGTCTGGTTGGCCAACTATGGTAGGCGCGAGGAGATGGGGTGAGCGCAACCGCCCTCAATTCCCAAACACATGTGTCCAAGAAGAGAACAATAGCAACAAAAGAATCCTACAGTCCTGACGGTGTGAAGCTCAATAAAGAGGCCTACGTAAGATCACTTGGCTAAGGCCACCTGACGGGCCAAAGAAGAAAATTCAGGAAAAGAACTGACACGCAAGTGATTGAGCCGGGGCTCGCTGCAAAACAATACAGCCGCTTTTTGCACATGGTTATCTGACAATGTAGCCCATCACGGCCATAAACGATTGGCATCCTGTGGGGCCGGCAGTTGGCAAACGGACTAACGCCATTTCGATATCCACATGAAAGACGGATAAAACTAGCGTGTAGATAATGTTGGAACGACATCAGTCAATAAGCCCAACGGCGTATGTTAAAGTGAAGCAACAGCGTCGAAGCCACTGTCTTCTCAAAACAAAGCGGGGCGCTGGTGGAACCGCGTAGGCATCGAATACGCAATTAGGCGATTTCCGAAAATCGATCGACGAAGAAGACGATATGCACTTCTTCGTATGATGATAGGTTTTGCTAACGTTGCATGACACTTCTGTTCGGTTCAGTGAATCAACCCCGATCTGTGGATCATAGCACAAACCAAGTTGACAGCTCGCAGTCTGCATAAGCGACTGAACTGTTGGAAGACCGCATGAGCACCAGTGGGAGGTATTATACAGAGACAAGTAAGCTGACCCTTCATTGATCGAGATAGAAGTGTTTGTGGGAAGCGCAAGCAGACGTTTGCAGTGCAACGGGCCACTCTAACTCACAGCGCTTGCAAGGCAGTTGGGTTTAACCCAAAAAACTAGCTTGTCCGAATACCCCGGTTGTCAGTCACAAAAAGAATTTCTACACCGAAATGAGTCGAACGTAGACGAGCACATAGTTGAACAGAAAAAGTAGCCGACACGCTCCACTAATTAAGGTAAATTCGAGGGGTAGATACCTATGGACCCCTCCAAGGCCACAGGCGTCCTGACATAGAAGGCGTCGCATGATTCGCCATTGCATACCATCAAAAATAAATGGATATATGAATGTAAGAAAAATCGGAAGTCTTCCGAAGATAGCAAGAATAAAAAGAAGTATTAGTTCCATGGTTACTGTTCATTAAACAAGTTGAAGATTAAACTTGAGACAATTTAAGAAACCGTGGATATCAAGCAGAAAGGACTGCAACTTTTACATGCAGCCTATATGCCCCAGGCTGAGGTTGATGATGCATTCAAAATGCTTCTTCACCGCAGTTGGGCTAAACCAATTTACACGTAATCTAGGTCTTTTTAGCTGAATAATCCACGAACTTAACACGTCGCACTGGCTAATTGTGGTTAACTACGTGAAATTTTTCGCGCTTGTGGCCTTTTTAATTATCTTATCCTGATACCTCGAACTTATCGCGCATATGTTCATAAAAAAACTTATTTTATATGCGCATTCAGCGATGAGTTAGGTCGGTATACCCGTGTGCTTTATTTGAGTTAATTCTTTCGAAATCGTAATTGCATGTGATTGGCTGCTGCTTGATATCCCCGGTGTGAGTGCGCTTGATGTGCGTGTTGACAAGGCGCCTACTTGTCTATTGTCCATTACCTCGTCCATACTGGCTCCAGGAGACAGTTGGCCGTTGCTGGAGGGGACGGGGTGCACAGTCCTTGTGGCCTTGTTAGGCTCAAAGAATAGTTTTATGCATATGGTTTGTGTGTGGAGCGGGATACGGCTTAACCACCGACTTGTGTGCGCTTGATTCCGAAATACAGCGTGCTTGTGTTTGCCTGTGAAGGTGTGGGCCGGCTCCGTTGATGAAACGCGGCTCCCGTCCACATACCTCCTGGTCTTATTTCTTCGGGTTTGCACCGGATAAGGAGTGTGTGGATGAAGCTGTGGGTGGTGCAGCGCACGCCCACGGCCCCTCTGTAGGTGCAGGCGTCCTATGGCTGTCCTATGGAGGCCACAGTGACAGGCAAATCCATAACCGGATGACGTCAACCATGTGCCCCAGACAAGGATTGCATGCTCATACCTGTGATTGACCACTCAGGTAGGAACTCAGCCCGCGTAAAACCACGTAAGGCTAGAGGACAAGGCGTCAGCACAAAGTGCAGTCATCAACATCATCAACTGCAGTACATCAACCATTTGAACGGATGCTTAGCCACTGTACAATCACAACGACCTAAGGAATGAAGAATAACAAGTGGGAGAGAAGAGGTATCTAGCGTAAAACCTGAACGCCTTAAGCATTCAGAATCGAAACGCCTAGGCATTATGTCAACAACATACCATCACAAACACCTGGCTATCGTACAAAGATAAGGCGGCATCGGCGAGACAGCGTCCATGCGGCTTTCACTGGCCCGCGTCATAATCAGCTATTACCCCGCAGATAACTTAGCACTAAACACACTTTAAATAAGCAGTCCGACTAACAGAGGACAGCGGACGCGCCACTGGTGCTGACTACAAGTCACATCCTGGGAATCCTCCAGCCAAACAAAAGGCGAGTCACGTGAACTGCAGCCTGAGAGGAGAAACGGACCCATGTCACCGAGTTTGGTCGTCAGTGCCTTCATCACCCGCTGCCAAGTCAGCTTGTGTCCCCCTCGGGCCTTGCGCCACCCTACGTCTGGCAGACTAAACAAGGCCCTCCTCGGTAAGCGGTGACGGGGCATACGTAGCAGGTGTCCGAGCCAACGCAACTTATTCAGTGCTATCTGCTGTTCCATGGAACTAGCTTGATTATCACTGTCTTTCAATCGCCTACGCACATCATCGTTGCGGACACGCAGGTGCCACTCGATACCAGTAACGCTCCACACACACAGTGATGATCAAATGCTTGAAGGGCTTCACATCATCAGATCGAAAGGGCTAAGTCTCACTTTCATAGAGTATGACGGTCATCACTGTGGCTTTGTACATATGGCTTTTCAGCCCGACGGAAACGATCTGACGCGACGGATGACGCAGATTCAAAGAGGTAGTTTCTAGCTTCCACAGTACCTAAACTTACTTCATTGGCCACACATCTATCCTTGGTGATGCAGGTAACAAGGTAGTGGAATTAGTCAGCTATCTTGAGTTAAGGCCTTGTTTGGTTCTTCGGGTTGAGCAATTTGATCGCAGACGCTTCATCACCAATCGAGGTGACAGCTTCAGTGTGTAAAATAGCAATTACCTTGTTAGTAGGTATTGAACCTCAAGCAAATCAAATTGCGCAGCACGGAAAACCAAGTAAAAGTTCCTTGTATTGATTCATTATCTCGAGTTCCTCGCTATCAAGGGATCACCAAGTGGCTGGTGGTCCTACAACAATACTGCATTTCGGAGGCGCGAAGCACATACTAACTGATGGAATCACTCTGGAGAGGTTATACAGGGTTTAAACTGCGCCGCGGGAAGCAGGCAGTAACTAAGTTCGAGGCGGAAAGAGCGCCGTGCTGTTAGTGAATGCAACATATTGTGTTGCCACAATGAAGAACATGGTACAACTCGTGTGGGTCGATAACAACATCGACTAAATACTGTGTGTACGTCAAGCGACGATCGATAGGTAGCCGCTAAAACCGAAATTGGGCCTTCGGATTGTAGTGAACACGACACACGGCACAGGAGAGCGGATTCAGCTGTGTCAACAGAACGAAGACCACGTAGTGGGTTGGGTACGCGAGACTGTTTTGCACGCATACATGAAACTACGACAGTCGAAGGTCGGATGCCTTGAAACTGAGATGAACAACACATAGACGAACACACAAACGCAAGATAAGATGACAAGGACCAAGAGAACAGAATACCGACGAAAGCAAGAAACAGCACATGAAGGAGGACACGGACTACGGTACGTATGTGAGCATCATGTACAACTGACAGCGCATCTGCACAGCACTAGAGAAAAAGACAATGAAGATAAATGTGCGAATAAATTCGAGTCGGTGAGACGGAGTAGAATACTGAGTAACACGACTGCTTCTCGATATCCAAAGAATACGCAAAAGCTCATTATACAAGTCAAATAGTAGCTGAGCGGTAAGTCTATCATCGAGACCATTACCGTCAGCATCCACAGTAGCATCGATAACAAAAACAGCAGCACATTAGTATGGCGAAATGGTTTTCAACCCTCTAACGATAAAAGTGATTCGACCGGTAAGGAATGTGAAGAGGAGTGCATGGGAAGGCTGATATTCTAAATAGAAAGTTCGGTTGTTCAGTAGCTTGGCTTTGTTCTGTGCATTGAGGTGCGGCAGATACAGTTGTTTTTGTACAGATCGTCGAAATGACAATGTGAATGACAATAATATTAAAGGGATGAGAAAGATGATCAGATGACGCATTCAATAGTTCGAAGTTAGAGATCGAAGACAGTAGCGCCACTAATCCCATGATAGTGTAATGTCAGATGAAGTATCCAAAAACTGATGTATATATTTGTATATTTGCAAAAGTCTGCTAACAGACATAATGCCATCAGAAACCATGGGATTCAAACGAAGGTACATAAACGGTAAAATAAAACACAACACAACAATGTCCATGGTTTCCTCAGA